GCTTGACTCTCTTGTAACTACTGCTCTAAAAAATCATTTTCCTTTGATAAAATATTAACTTGGTGTCTTCTTTGCTTGAGCTTTTCTTGACTCTCTTCGGCTACTCTTTTGAGGCTTGCCACCTCTTGCCTCAATTCGACAGACTTACTCAAGTTAGAACCTGTCTGAGCTTTTACCATTCGCTGATAAGTTGACCGAAGATTGTCAAAGTCTAGCCGAAGTTGCTTCTCCACTTTTTCAATTCGATCTGCTCTACTCTTCTGAATGTCGATCTCCAATCCCTTTTGATACACTTCATCTTCCAGCTTCTGCAAAGTCATTCTCAATTGTCTCCGTTCTGCTTCAAAATCGTGCTTAGCAAACTCTAATAGAGATGGCACCACTCTCAACTGTTCTTCCACCGACTTAATATTTTCAGGATTCACTATCGGGATATTGTCATTTACTCGACCACTTCTCCACTCCTTGTACTCTTTAGATAACTCGAGATCATAAGTGAACAACTTCACACGACGAGTTTGCTTCCAGGCCTCTGCGACCCCTTTAACTTTACCCTTATACTGATCTCCTTTGAATGCAAAATCCGACCCTACCAAGTCCCATGTGGCTGGAATGAATTGCCTTGACCCATACTGTGTGGAAACTAGTAGAGGTACATACCCAACAGAACCCCATATACCTGGTAAAGGAACCCAATCTCGCTCTCCACATCGGTAAAATATAGCCGAAGAGACATTCCACGAAGCTCGCCACAAAATATCACCATATCTGATATCCTTGAAAATGACCATCCATTTTTCTTCGGTGAAGCCCCCATACCATTCTTTAGAAAGAAAATCCTTCAAAGGTGAAAACCCCTCTAGAAACACTCGTCTTGGTGCTCTTTCAACATGTTTGAAATGACTCAGAATCCACACTAACAGCAAAGGCACACATCCTATAAAGCGTCATTCTCCCTCGCGCCTACAAGAACTCAAAGACCGGAACGTCTCAGCTAGAATGGCTGGAACAGGATCTACGTGCTTGTCTAATCTTTCAAACAAGTCAACGACTGATACGTCTATATATCCTAGCACCTTTGGAAAAATAACGACCCCATAAATCCCTAAAGCAAACAAGTCAAGCTTCTTTCTCTTATCAGGGTGATGAGCAATTACTTCTTTCAACGCAGCCCAATAGATGCACTCACTGTCTCCCTTCTTCTTAACGTTTCTGACTACCCAATCTTCACTCATTCCGGTCATCAATAGTAATTTCTTCTTAAATGAAGGAGTGACTGGCAGCTTGGTATATACTCTATCCATCTGAGACCTCGAACAATGGACCAAAGCTTGATACTCCTCTATTGTTGGTGTCAGATCCATCCTACCAAATGTGAAACAGCTATAAGCCGGATTCCAGAACTGCGCCAATGCTCTAAACAGATTTCGGTCAATAGGAACATCCAGAATATAAGGAATATCACCGTACAACTGATAAAACATCTCCTTATCGGCTGTTTCCCATCTTCCCCATACCTCTTTTAGTTCACTCAGATCATTCTAAAGTACGTTGATGTGAGTATAACCAAATAACTCTGACATCTATCCAGGCATCACACTGTCCCCGTTGTTCAGTTGGGACTGTTCCGACCACCTCAAAACATCTGCATTGTCCTCAACCTCTCTCTGAACCATTCGTTCCATATTACTGGCCTTCTATATGGACATCGATCCCAAATCAACACCATGTAATGGACATTACAATGCAAAAAAGAAAAGAAATAAAGCAAAGACAACAAAAAATCAGTTAGTAAACATAAAGCAATTAATTCGGGATAATAATTTGTTAAAGAATCCTACCCACATGCTGGCTACCCAATCATGCTTTTTCATATCCTACCCAACATGATATCTACCCCCATGCTTTGTTATTCACAAAAAGAAATCATATCCGCATGATATCTAATTCGCATGCTTGTTCGAAAAATAAACCTAACCGCATGATATCTAGCTCGCATGCTTGTTCGAAAAATAAACCTAACCGCATGATATCTAGTTCGCAAGTATTTATTTGAAAAACGAAAATAAATGACTCAAAAAAAACTTTTCCTTGTATACTATCCTCACGGGATTCTTAAGGTTCGGGTTTGGTTCAACCTAAGTTCAGGCTCTATGTTCACTATATGCCGGGTTCGATTCTAAAGTAATAGGTTCTCGAATTGTCCTTGCCGGTGCCCCCTTGGGCTGCCGAACCCTCAATCCTGACCCATCATAGGCTTTAAGGGATCGAGTTCAATTTTGAGGGAACACACCTCCTTATGTCCATGCGGAGGTGATTACCATCACAAGGACCATAAGGTGTGAGCTCCAGGAGCGATCCACTATCCCATGCGGATGTGAAAACCACACGAGGGAATAGTCTCTCACTCCTACTTAAATAGGACGGAGCGGGGTTTTAGCTCATGATATGACAATTCAGCTGTGCAGTGTGTGAGGAAAAGCGAAAAAGCGCACAATAAAAACACTCAACTTTCCTAAATTCACACAATCAGTCTGAAATCATTAACAAACAAATTAGTATAACTATTTAATTGTTAATCGAATTAAATCAAAAAAATCAAAATACAAACAAAACTTATTAAAAACCATACAAGGGATCAAAAAACCAAATTAAAACGAATTTATAATTTTCAATTGCAAAGGTAATTAATTAATTGACTATCGACTTGACTCTCTAAAAAAGTCCAATAATCCCTAGTGGAGTCGCCAAGCTGTCGAAACGATTTTTCCTTAAAGGTGAGATTTTGAAAACCATATTATTTTTTAATTTACCTCTTTCAATTGATTAAATTTAAAAATAAATGCGATTTAAAAACCTTTCGTTTTGAAAAAATTTTGAATTTCCTTTACGATCGAAAAAATACGGATCAAAGAGTCGCTACCAATCTTTGATTAGGGTGTGATTGGGCACCCAAAAATGTTTGTTATTTTAAATAAAAATTAATTTTAATTAAAACAACAAATTAAGGTCTGCGTTACCAAAATCCGAGTTCGGGAGTCGGTTACGTGCAGGGAAGGATTAGAACCCCACAACGCCCTAAAACGACACCTAGTTGATTAATTAATGTCTTTGCAATGAACTTTACAAATTCTAATTTAATTTGATTTTTGATCCCATAAAACAAAGATGTAAATTTAAAAACATTCAAAAGCACTCAAATGAATTAAATTAAAATTACCAAGTCGTTTTAGAAAGATAAAGAATGTTCGATTATTTACAAATATCGAGACCAGATCTTAAAAGCTATAACAACCTTTTCTCGATAAATTTAAATAAACGAACATTTCCTTTTCTTTCGTTCCCAAATTTTAGGTGACGAATCAATTTTTGGTTTCACTTTCGGGATACACTTTTAACTTAAAATGGTCATAACAGCCCTCTAATCAGTTAAGATAGGCCACTTAAGACAATTTGGGTATTACCCTTAGTCCGATTATGTAATAGGTCAAGTTATGCACGTGAGGGTATCATACAAATTGTGCAAAAAGTGGATGCCATGCCAAAATTAATTATATAAAAATTAATATATATAAAAAATGATTATCTAATTAATGAACAACCTATGTGTACATGCATACATATCATCATCATTCAACCATATGAAGCATACATTCGAAACGAACCCTAAATAACTATACATACATAGACATAAAAACTTAAGCATGAACTAAAACGTAAAGAAAACTAATTTAAGGTTAAAACCTAAATAACGTAAACAACATACTATTGTAAAAATGATAAAAAAAATTAAAAGAACTTAAAGACATGTGACCAAATTAAAATGGGAATGTAAATCTGATGCTAAAGTAACAAACTGTACAAACATTAAGTAATGACGCAAAAGAAATAATATTCCAAGCACCAAGATTGTAATTTGTCCATTAAAAAAATAGAGGATTAAAATGTAACAAAATAACATTATGAGCCTCGCAGGTGAGAATAAATCATACACATACATAGGGTTAAAATAAAAAGTTTCCGAAATTGCATGTTCGATGTATAAATAAGTAAAAATTAAAATTAACCAAATCTAGGACTATAATGGAACACGCATCAACTTAAGAGCTATAAACAACAAATTCAGAAATTAATTTAGGGACCAGAATATGAGCTTTTGAAACCTAAAGGATCAATCGATGAATTCCTTAACTTACGAAACGCCGCCGTTTTGAACATCCCATATATTTAATTTTTAAGGCCAAAATAAACCCTAATTTCATTTGCATTAAGCCAACCCTCTCCCCTCAGTCGTTTCTCTTCTACTCTCTTCTCTGGTTCGATCGAGACCCCCTCCCTCACTATTCAACGCCACCTGCTGGAGCCCTCCAGACACCATACCCCACGACTCAATGACCTAAACTGACCATCTAGTAAACCAAAAAAAACAGACCCTAAGCCTCTCGAAACTAAACTAAGATTGCTCTCCTCCTGACGCTAAATTCTACTCTCATCTCCTTCTATCTCCGGCGAAGACCCAAACAAACCAGGTAAATAGATCTCTCTCTACTATTACGGTTCCCAAAAAAAAAAGAAAAAAAAGGGTTTTGAACCTTTAATCTCTTCTGAAATCCTTTTGCAGCTTGTGATCTCCTTAAGTGATTGGATGCCAATTTTAACACCAGACGACAGATCTCATATAACGGATCCCTCGAACTCAGGTAACAACGATTAAAATCTTCCTTTTTCAATCTTGGTTTCGAATGGCTGAGGATGATGTGTTTTTCATGCTTTAATTTCTATTTCGTTTATAACAGAGCACGAAAATGGTATATTGAAAAAATACTTCTGAATTTTCGCTTTGTATTTGCTTTGTTTCGTGATCCCCCTATTTCTGGTGGTTAATTGCTTATTAAAAATTAACCCCCACCTCCTTTATAGTTTCTTTCTGATTTATTAAGAAAACAAAAATCCATCTTTTGTTAACTCCCGATAACTGCTTTTAGTTTTCCAGGGAGTATTCACGTGGGCTTGAGTTGGGCCTTCAATTGCTCTGCTTCGGGTTTGCTCTGATCTAGCCCCGGACAAAAACGAGCATCTACATAAGGTCTATGCGAACTCTCAGATAAGTGGAGAGCATCCTGCAAGTAATCACGTATCAATCACATATTATCCTTGCGAACAGACCTTCATAACATCACCAACAGTCACATGTTGACACATGTGATATCCTAGTCTAAACCATCACTCTCTAGAACGTCTAATCAGTACCAATGATACGATAACTACTGACTAACACTTATCCGTGACATTATAAATACACATCTAATAAAGAGTAGAGGGGTAATGCATGCTTCTCCACTACAAACTATATCAACATCCCAAAACCTAACAGAATTATCACCGAACCTATCTTTCTATCACATTCTACTATTTTTGATTACTTTATCATTTAACAAAATTGTAAAGATGGTGCATTTAGGCGCATGAAAAGCTCACCAACTTGCAACTACTTAAACAAGTGGGAAAGCAGTAGTTGACAAAGCTAAAGAAATGGTTGTTGTTAATCTAATCATAAAACCACCCTTATCGCCCAATTTCCCCTGCTTTGCTTCTCCTTTCCTCAAATATTTTTTAAAATTTGTTGTTAGGTTAAACTCGATATTTAACTCAGTTGAATCATAGTTTTTAAAAGAGAGCTTGGGTTGCCTTTTTTGCTTCTGAAGCTTCCCCTCTTTCTTCACTGATTTTATCAAACAAAAGTTTGGAGTTGAAGGTTGCTTTCCTCCCTCTCTGTAAAGTTGGTTTTTTAGCCGAAATAGCCAAGTCAAACAACAGCCTCGACACCACCTCCTCTGACGTCGAAAAAGTCGAAAAAGTCGAAAATGCCATTCCCGAAACGTCCCTAAGACTCGGTGAAACGTCCCCGACGTCGTTCAGCCGTACCCTGCCACCGTAGCACGTCCCCGGTATGTACCCCATCCATCCCCATGTCGTCCCCGTACCGAGGACGTATCCGGTACGTGAAACGGCACAAGTTTGCCGTCCCCGTGCTTCCTTGGTATCTAAGCCTTCACATTAATTGAATCATTATGTTCTTTCCTGTCAATCCGCTTCTCTTTCATATCAGAATCCTATTTCTAATTGATAGAATATATTGTAATTAACTCATCTCAAATTAAAATGAACAAATCCAAGAAGTGCAATTTGATCAACCTATATCACGTTTACTACTGGTACAACTCTGTGCAAACAAGCCGTTAAAAGCTAACACCATATCAATTTCATCAGCTGCTGTAGTTAAATGATTTTACAAACATAAAATTTTATGTTACTAGGCGAACTTATAGAATTTTAGCGGCCGAAAACAGATTATCAATAAAAAATAAAACGAAAATATTTAAAATATATATGAATTTGAAATTTTCAACAGTACGACAGCCGCTCAGTCCATCACTGTGTCAGACAAGCTCTAAGGTTTATGTTCATACGATACTTGAAATTGTGGGTATGTACGGTGATGAAAAATATTCTATGCAGAGCACGAAAAGGGTAACAACCATAAGACAAATGTTGATCTATTTGTTGATAAAGCCTACAAAATTAAGAAAACATGGAAACAAACTATCCAAATAATAATCTGGTTCCTGTCGTATGGATGATTATTTTCATTCCACCTGGTTAACAAAGTCAACCAAATGCCCGCTTATCATTCAGAAAGATTAGGTGTCAAAGTATGAACAAAAGAATTAAACCAAGGCCTTTTATACAAAGGATAAAAAAATAAGAACGCCCACCGTGGGGCTCGAACCCACGACCACAAGGTTAAGAGCCTTGCGCTCTACCGACTGAGCTAGACGGGCTTGGTTGTTGAACTTCTAGGCATAACTATTTTTTATCATTTTATAAATTAATCCGAGCCAAAGACCCTACCTACCCAATCCCCATTATTCATAAGTAGACGCAAAATCTAACATGTTTCAACACATATAAGAAACCTATCAAAGGTTTAATTATGAGAGAAGATGTGCATCAAAAGCTAAACCCATCATCATTCATTATATGAAAATGAAAGCAACCAAATACAAAGCTTATATACTAAGAATCCTTGACTAAAATTCGAAACACCGTTTATACATATTTACACACTTTCCTTTGACTGGCCTATACAAAATAAAACTAGAAAGGAAAGGTACCTAACCTAATTTCACTTCCTTTCAAACTACACCTTCAGAAAGACATTATCAGTAACGAAAGAAAATCTTATACATGGCCAAACCGTTTTAATTATAGAGAGCATGATACCCACAAGAATAAAAAGGATTAATCAACCTTTAGGTGTTTGCCAAAGAATGTGTCTGCACTATCTTATTATTAAATTAACTTTTGTCTAAACTACTGCTTAGGAAAAATGAGTCTGCAAATAAAAGGGGACCAAAGGAAACTCCGAAGTTTGGGCATTAAAGAATGAAGGGTAAGGGGAGGAAAAAGGGATGAGGTCAACAAAAGAAAGATTTACCTTTGATAATAATGACCATATGGAGGATGCTATTGCCTGCATTACATTAACTGCTGAAAATATTGCTTCCTTCAATTTTGGGATATCAGCCTGTACAAATAAGACGACAAGCAAGTTTTTCTCCCCCTTCTTTTTAAGACCCACATAAAGTAAAGCATTGACAGCGGAGATGCTAAAGCTTAAAGGAAATGATCAAATTTCAGAATAAGGAACTTACTCTTGCCCCACAAACTACTGGAAGGCGGAGTGTGCTTGCCGTCAGAGCTTCGATAGCCCCAGACAAATAACTGCAATAATCATGGTCCAGGACAGCCCATTCATCCAAAAAGATCATCTGCACTTATCAATGAAAATAATATGCTATAAATAAAAAAGCACACAATTTCTTGAACTGAAATATGCAATCCAAATAAGATATGGCAGACAATGAAAAACTAGTAACAATTGAGTTAAGATCAACAAAATAATCAGAAATCTTAAAACAAACAAAGAAAAAAATCAAGCCTACAGTAAACACATCTAGTAGGGAGCTATCGTTCTTACTTGCCCCTTGAGGATGGAAATCAGCTTCAAATTTTGCCTCAGCAATTGTAATTCATTTCTTTTGGCTCTAACAGATTCTCGCAGTTTTGAGGTAGTAGTCCAAGCATTATGGAGGCTTTTCTGTAATAGGAACATGTTAAAAGAATTCATCCTCATTTTTACTAACTAAAAGGAAGATAATCATTTTCAAAAAAAAAAATATCAAGGAAGATAATCGAAAAACTTGAATTGTTAGTAAACCGAGAAACAAGAGATGGTTAAAAAGAGATAGATGTACATGTATTATTGATGACTTTTCTGTTATACGAACATGATGACAAAGGATTCTTCATCATATTTTAACACGATCAAACTCGTTTTAAGCCACAAAACAACCCTGCTGCTTGCACGCTACAGAATTTCTACACCACAAAAGTAATTATAACCAAAAAGCCAGAATGCCAAGCGCTCTAGCAGAAGTGGCCTGAATAGTTTCAGTTCTAACAAGAAAACACTTTTTTTCCCACAGCACATAATTCAACTCAGTTTTGTTGGCCAGGTTCTAGAGTTTTTAATGAAAATTTTCAAATTCCAGGCAGTATGGGCAAGATAAATTGTGACAAGCCAGGCAACTTTCTCACAATTTAACATAACATGAAACCATGATACTATATAATAATAAAAGTAAATCTTAACCATAATCCTCAAAAGGTGATGGAATGCAACATTAACAGCTACGAGTTGTGCTGCCAAATTACACTAAGAGGGAATACCTATGAATGTTGAAACAGTACAGCATGCAAACTTGAAGCATACAAACAACAAGGTAGCAATAGGACAAAGCGAGCTACTTAGTTGAATACAACAAGAGAGAAATTCGAAGTCAATACCTCTGTGTTAGACCTTTTGGAAGACAGAGTCGCATCTGCTCTAGCATTAACAAAACGCCACTGCAACAAATGGTTATGGAGTAACCTCAATAAATGAGCATCCGAAACTTTGTTCTCTCCAATCTTAATAGCATCACCAACTAAGCTCAAAATCGATGGCCTATTTACCAAATTATCACCCAACCCAAGCTTACTCGGTGATGCAGGCCGAACTGGCCAATGAATTGACCATAACTGGCCTCTGCTGTTCGATACACCTTTTGGAGACGACAAAGGACTGTCAGTTCCGTACTTGTCTCGTACAATTTGCTTAGAACGTGCTGTATTTTTCTTAGGAACCGGATAACCAGGATCGGACCGGCATAAACGATTAGCAGTATCTTGCCAGGACCGAGCCGAAACCATTATTCCCCGAGGCCCACGCTTAACATCACCGTCTACGGAAGAACTTTCTGGAGCTCCTGGAGTACTACCAGAAGAAACACTTCCGGTATCAGAAGCCGCGAGATCATATTGAGGCTTAGATTTAACGGGAGTAACGGTTGTTATTTCTCTATTATCAGTCATGGAGAGCTGCAGTGCCCTAACTACATTGCCGTTAACAGAACGGTTAAAACTCTTCCTCTCGTCGGTGCAATCAACGCTTCCACTAGTAACCGAATTTGATAGCCTTAACTTTGCCGGCCACCGCTCCGCTTTTGAAATTCCCGCTTGCTCTGTTCCTTTCCGTGGAGTCGTTGCTACCGTTGTCTTCCACCTCTCCGGCGTCCCTTTCGTTGCCGCGCTTGGTGATGGAGCTGGTTTAGCTTTCCTACACTTATAGGAAAACGGCTCACCATGAGACGAAACGGATAAATCACATTTGTTACTGTTGTCACCGTTACTAGTTTTCAAATCCAAAGAATTACTAGGCAGCGGCGTCACCGCATGTCTCCTCTCCACTGCTTGCGACCGCTTGCTAGCCAATAGAGTCGCGCGTTTTGTCGTGGTCATGGCCTTCGAATGAGAAGTCCTCGTCGAAAATAACGTCAGAGGACAGATTTTGGTGGGAGGCGAGGAAGAATTTGATGAGGACGTTGACATATAACGAGAGGAGAACTTTCCGGATTTTTTACGACAAGGAGTGATGGCATTGTCGGGGTCGGAGGTCAACAGCGGAGGCCGCGGCGCGTTTTGGTTTAGCGGAAGCCCTCCTCCGAGCTGTTTGGGTTTTACCGCTGCGGAAACGGCAGCAGCAACCATTGCCGGCTTCTCAGAAAATTCAATTCCACAGTCTGATTCTTTAATCTCACTCTCCTCCCAATTCCTCCAAAAATTTACTTCCAATTATATATTTATTTTTTTAAAAAAAATGAAAAATCAGAACTCAGACAGTTTAGGATTTATGTTTTAAAAACATTGGAATTGAAAATATTTTTTTTCTTTATAAAGTTGGAATTTGCAGAGAGAAAAAGAAGAAGGAAGGGCGGGAAAAGTAGCGTTGGCGTCCAAAGAGGGAGCGGAAAAACGAGAAATGTTTGGCTTAGGATAGCATAAGGAGTATGGAGATTTTAATTAGTGATTTTAAAGTGTGAGGGGGAGACGGGGTTTTATTCGCGTGGAGGAGGCACAAGGTGTGTTGTGCAAGTGAATTGGAGATCTCCTTACACGTGTAAGCTACTTTTGTTGTTTTATTTTAATCGTACAACTTGGTGATAAAGAGTTTAGTTTACATTTTTTATAAAAAAAATTGAGGTTAAACTAAAATTTTTGAGGTTTTGAGAGATTTGATGAGAATTTTTAAAAAATATTGGAGAGTTTAATTAAAATATTCAAAAATTTTAAAATTTAATCTGAATTTTTAAAAATATTATGAGAGAGAAATTGAATTTTTAAAAAATTTAAGCGTCTAATTTATAATTTTTAAATTTTAGAGGGACCGTGGCTCCATTAGTCCTAATGCCTCTGATTTAAGGATATGATTATACGGAATTGGGCTGAGATTTTCAGTGACGTTAACCTTACGTCCACTACTGAGGGTCTAAAAGAAATTGCGAATATCTAAGATAGATATAGGGATGATTAAAATATCTGAATTTTATTTACAAAATTAAAAAAATAATCATTATTATACTATATGATGATCCTGAATTAATATGTGTTATATGTTTGAAGAAAATTTCTAAAGATTTATCCATTCATCAGGATGTTTGATTAGTTTGTATTCCTTAAATATAAATTCTTAATTAGTTATAACGTATGGATAAAACCTCTAATAATTAAGTCACTCGAAAAGTCCATGTGAATCGTCAGAATAAAATTTAAAATATGATTATCAAATTTACTTAATTTGTTGAACTATAAAAAGTCATGATAACCCTATGTACTACGGTTAACGCACTCATTAAAAATCACTATAAATGCTCCATTCGCAGTTGAACAAGGAGATGAATTTTTTTTTTCATAAACATGGCTTTCCTTGAATGATAATATGTGTTATATGTTTGAAGAAAATTTCTAAAGATTTATCCATTCATCAGGATGTTTGATTAGTTTGTATTCCTTAAATATAAATTTCTAATTAGTTATAATGTATGGATAAGACCTCTAATAAGTAAGTCACTCGAATAGTTCATGTGAATCGTCAGAATAAAATTTAAAATATAATTATCAAATTTATTTAATTTGTTGAACTATAAAAAGTCATGATGATCCTATAGACTACGGTTATCGTGCTCATTAAAAATCACTATAAATGCTCCCTTCGCAATTGAACAAGGAGATGAATTGACGGTAACCAACCAACCTTTTTCTCACACATGAACAATAACATTAATGGCCAATCATTAATCTACTAATACAAACCTATATTATTCCTTTTCGTTTCCCACGCTTTTGCATCAAGTAACCTTTTCTTAATAAATCATAATCTTATAAATTGTATTTTAATAAGAGAATTCTAACTTAGATCTTAAAAATGACATTGTTAAGATATATATATATATATATATATAGAAGTTAAAAGTATCTATAAATCAAATCAAACTTACATATGAGATTAACACTTCATGCTTACTCAAGCCCAAACTGACTTGAATTAAATTATTGTAAATAAAAAGTTATATACTTTTAATTAAGTTAGTAACTACATGTTATAATTAATTAATAAAATATAAAATCACAAAATATAAATAATTAAATAATTAATTTTTTTACTGTAATAAAAACCTAAATTTATACTGATGTTAATAAATATATTTTTATAATAAGTTATTAGATTAGTAAATATAAATTATGATTAATTATAGATTATATTAAATATTATAGTATCTCAAGCCATTAATTTATAGCTTGAGAAAATATTTTGAACCCAATTGTAAAATAAAAATATTAGACATGATTATTTCGGGCGCATTTGGAGGTTAGTTATAATATATTATGATAATTCAACATATTTTTAATTTAGAAAGCGGTACAAATTAACTTACTTCAGTGGTTAAAAGAATCGTTGTTGTTCTAAGAGGTTACATGTTTGAGCACTAACAACTGCAAGGGTGATTAAACGTTCATTGTCGGATAGTTGAAACTATTTAGAATATATACTAATTTGTAATTACTTTTAGCTTAATAAAAATAAATAAATTTAGAAAGCGAGTTGAGTTAGGCTTGAATGTTAGTGTTTGAGTCCAATTTATATATTAAACGAGTCTATTTTTTTGTTTAAATTATTTTTAAATCATTATATCAAAAAAATATTTTCAAATCTAATATCATTCTTCAAATTTTAAAGATAATTCAACCTTTAAATATAGATAGTAAACTTATACGAAAATTTAGAAATATTAAATTTGATATGAGCTTATTACTATATGCAAAATTTCAGTTCTACGAGAAGATAAGCGACCATAGTACGTGTGAATCTTTGAAGATGTGAATGTAAGGTCTATGCGAACTCTCAGATAAGCGAAGAGCATCATGCAAGTAATCACGTATCAATCACATATTATCTTTGCGAACACACCTTCGTAACATCACCAACAGTCACATGTTGACACATGTGGTATCCTAGTCTAAACCATCACTCTCTAGAACGTCTAATCAGTACCAATGATACGATAACTACTGACTAACACTTATCCATGACATTATAAATACACATCTAATAAAGAGTAGAGGGGTAATGCATGCTTCTCCACTACAAACTATATCAACATCCCAAAACCTAACAGAATTATCACCGAACCTATCTTTCTATCACATTCTACTATTGTTGATTACTTTATCAGTTAACAGAATTGTAAAGATGGTGCATTTAGGCGCATGAAAAGCTCACCAACTTGCAACTACTTAAACAAGTGGGAAAGCAGTAGTTGACAAAGCTAAAGAAATGGTTGTTGTTAATCTAATCATAAAACCACCCTTAGCGCCAAATTTCCCCTGCTTTGCTTCTCCTTTCCTCAAATATTTTTTTAAAATTTGTTTTTAGGTTAAACTCGATATTTAACTCAGTTGAATCATAATTTTTCAATAATTCCTATCCTTACACTTCCACCTTCTTTTGTTAACAAATGTATCTATAAGTTAGTTACAATGGAATATTACAAAACATTTAAATATAAAATAGATCAAATGACTAAAGCATAAATCATGTATCTCACACAAAAATATAATTTAATAAATTTAAATCCGATTTCATATCGTATAAATAACTTATTAGTATTGTTAACACCAGCGATGATAGCTAATCAGGAAGGCATTTATTTAAAGATTATTGAGAAAGGTAAGCATTGGTTTGATGTATCAATTTGCTCGGCAAGCAAAAGCAAATAAGTGGTATGAATATGAATCAGTGGTCAAATCATTGGGCAAGGCAGCATATGATTAGAGTTTAATCTCTTTGGGGAGAATTGGTATCTGCCAAAATAAGCATAGATGATGATAAGTAGGAGATGGAAATCGTGCAGTCTTGAGCATCACTTCAAGGGTTAAAGTAAATAATATTTATTAAGTAGTTAATAGTTCAAAAAATTATAATTTAGTTATGATCACTCTTTTTTTTTAATTCTGGTTTCGCTATTATGGAAAATGTAAAAGGAAACCAATAACTAAAATTATGAAGTGACAGAGGATGGGGTCAGTGATTTATAAACAATTTCCAGTTTGGTTGATACCTTGTAACACAATCCACCATTGATGGTTGTCCGTAGCAGTTTCCAGTATATAAATTTTGTCTCTTTTTTAGGTATTTAAATATTTTCGATCACGTTTAACGTTTTATTATATAATCATTTTCAGGAAGCACTTGTACCTTTTCGAATAGAAAAGAAATATAACAAAGGTATAACCTTTTTTTCATTCCGTTGATGACTTGCATGCGTGGTTGCGTTGTTGTTTTCACTCAAAAAATCAAAGTTTTCGACCGATGAACAAAGTAAGACCCTTATTTTCGAATATATTTTCTTAGATCTACTCTCCTCTAAAGCTCGGTTTTTAAAAAAAAACTTGGATTTTTGAGTAAAGGGGAAGAAGAGCTCTTTAAAAATGGGATTTTTTTGGTGGACCACCGCCGATAACCGGCGGCCGGCTCCGATCCACGGCATCCGACGAGGCGATGGTCACCGTTTTCTGGAAATAAGTGGCAGCGTTCATCCTTTTGGATGAACAAACCAGAGAACACGAGAGAGAGGGGGGGCTGTCGAACAAAGAAGAAAGCATAATGAAGTTTAAAAAAAAATATCTTATATAGTTGATCCATGGACCCTGGGTTGACCCGATCCACAGCCCAGGGTCCGTGTGTTTTATTTCAAAAGAGGGTAAATCCTCGATTTGGTCCTCCCAATTTTAAAACGTTTGATTTTCCCCTAATTTGATTTTAATTTTCAATGTTCTTTTTTACATCTGCCCATTGGTTGAGCTTTTATTTCAATTTAATCCCCTACTAATATTATGTATGCTTAATATTATTATTATTTTTATATCTTATTTTGTTTATACGTTATTTTTAGTTTTATGTATATATATATTTTTGCTCATATTTTTATATTTGTTATAATTTCTTTCATTTATGTTTCTTTTTTTATTTATTACTATTATTACTATTTTTATATTTTATTTAAATACTTATTATTACTATTATTTTTATACCTTGTTTATAAGTTATTATATATATATTATTTATTTATTTATATGACTATTATTATTATTAGTATTTTTACTATTAACGTATATACCTATATATTTTTATTTTATTATTACTATTATACGTATATTCTTTTATTTATTTCATTTACTTTATTTTTCTTTGGTGTTTACTTTTTTATGTGTTCTTATTTATTTAACATAA